AACTCTAAAGTAAATAACACACTCAGCAGAGGACACGGGGGAGGACATCAGGGTTTAAAGTAAACTATATAGCTCCAAGAAAACCTTAAACTGTAGAAGTCAAACTGTAGTCGTATCTATCTATCCAGGAGCAAAACAGTTAAAGTGGCCCACAGAAACTCAACTCAACTCAAACTTTATTCTCAGTAACTAACGGTATTCTAATAAACTCATGACTTTATCATAAACTTACAACTTATTTTCATGAACTCATTACTTTATACCCATAAATTTACAAATGTATTCAAAGCCTAGCTATTCAAACTTATGACCTTTTTTTTGTTTTTTCTCACAAACGTCTGTTTATGTTTTTTATGTTTTTCACTCAACATTACAACTTCATTCTCAGAGGTCACGACCTTAATCTTATAATCGTTTTAAATGTTATAATCTCAATGATGCCCTCTGTCCTTCGATATTCATACATCACGTGCCTCCATTTTCCAGAATTTTAAGAACTGTGAATTTCACCAAGAATGACATGCGCGTTCCTTTGGCAAAAAAAAAAAAAAAAAATGCAACATCCGCATTTGTAATAAATAATTAATGAGACAAATCATTTTTTAGATGTTCCCCATGAGTTTTTGAAAACATATCCTTGTGCCTCAAAGGCCTTGTTTCCATTAACCGTCTGCTGGTCTCAAAAAGCGCAGACGTTAAATTACATCTATTTCAGTATTTGCGGAACTATGAAAATGCAGATCAGTTCCGCATCCATCAGCTCTCGGCCATTTACCTCCGCTCTGAGCACACAAACCTCTGCTTGTGTTCTGCTTGGCTAACCGGAGGCAGCTCATTTAAGTGCTAATAAAAAAAAGAAGGAAAAAAAAAAGGTTAATGCTGCCAGACTGAGGAGGAAGCAGAGGCAGATACAGGAACGGGCAAATTGTCAGACAGACAGGGGCTAATAATAAGTCTAAAACAACAACAGATAGCTAATAGCCCCATTTAAATGTTAAATACACATGATTAGCATCAATAACTTTGAACTCTCTGGGATGAGACTAATCAGCCGCACCTTAGTTTGACTTAGATAAACTACAGAGAAAGTGCTGTTGTCATGTGTTAGTGGCCACAGAAACACTGGCTGTGTACAGTAAAGGATCCTACTTGTACTTGTAATACTTGTACTACGCAACAGTTTTTATTTTACTAAATAACTGAATTGGTCAACTTCCCCCTCATCTCTGTCCAAGTAAACATGCACTGAGAGTTTTTTTTAAAGTGATTTATGATCCACATTGCGCCTGTCTGCAGTTAACGTGCTAGCTTGTACAGGGTAGTATAAATGCTAAAGCTTCAAATCTCTTTTGTTCCTTTTTTTGACTGCGATTAATCATGATTAATCCAGACTTACACTACAATAAATGTGTCAAATCTTTAATTGAAATACTAACACATTTACTATATTACATTATAATATATTAGAATACAGCAATACCTTGACATACGAGCGCCCCGACATATGAGTATTCCGAGATTTTGAGATACGAGCACGCTTACAGACACCGACGCTAGGTGGCCGAGCACTCAGAGGAGCCCACGCCGCTTCACTGGTTCACTTCACATCTGTCCCTTTCCCTGCGAGTCTTCCGTATTGTGTTTGCGTTATCTACGTGATTTTCTCTCTATTTTGTGCATTATTCTTCATAATAGTGATGAGTCCTAGGAAAGTGAGCGGTAAGGATGGTAGTGAGAAGAAGAAACGCATGATGACCATGGAAATAAAGCATGAAACTGTCGATAAATATGAGCGTGGTGCCCGCTAAAGAAAGAATGCAAAGGAAAAAAAAGCTGGTGCCCGCTAAAGAAAGAATGCAAAGAAAAAAAAAGCAAAAAAATAAATAAAATAGAAAAGTAAAAAAAAAAAACGTAAGTTAAGGTAATTCTACGTTTATGTCAGTTACATAGTGTAAGGTACGTGTAAGGTACGCTACTGAATCAAGTGCCTACGTACGGGCCAACTCTCTTCCCCCAGAGTTTAAACAGTTACAGTTTCAAATGCCTGAACGAAAATACAAAAAATCCTTTATTAAATTATAAGACTTTTATTCTGAAACCGTCCTGTCATACCAGGAGAATCACAGATGGGACTAATGACAGTAACAGAGAGACACGACTTTAAACCTCTGAGCATTTTTTTTACATCAGTATAAGCCTCACTGCGACCAGATATCTCCTGTGACACACGTCTGCTGGAGTATACATTCATGCCTTCATCTTTATGGACCCTCAGCTGGAGGGTCACGAGGTCAACAGCAGGAAATCCCAGCACATGACATTAAGAATGTCATGACAGGTCACCGTTTACACTCATATTAATAAAATAAAACTGATTTCATTGAATGAATATAAACTTGGCTTAAAACAGCGGTGAATTCGACACCTGGGTTTTTCATGTGGCAGACTGAATGAGCAGCCTCAGGAGACTGGGATCAGAGGAGAAAAGTGACTTGAAAAATATTCAAAAATGAGCTGATGTTCCTGCCTAAGACTTGTGGGGTGTATGTGCCACACTCTGTGAGGCAGCAGGTCGACGACACCCCTGGAAGAAGGACCTACAGCTCACACACATGTATAATACATCATATAATGTCCAGATCCATACGTGGTGGGGCTTCGACTGTGTGATTTCTCCAGATCAGATAGGCAGGTTGTAACATTCAGTATTTGATGCCACTGTTTATTTTTTTTCCACGGTCGTCGGACCGACTCTGACTGCTTCCAATTTTTGTTTAATGCTGGAGGAAATTTTAAATCATATATAATTCGACATTTGGGGAAATGCTTGCAGTTCTCTTTCCCGGAGAGTAGGAACAGATGTTGAACAGCATTAACTCTGACTGTACGAAGTTTAAAGTATCTGAAAAACAGAGGATGGAGTTTCAAGCTGTGGTTTGCGCAATAGTGCAGTCCAGTCAGCATATTCACAATAAACAGACTTTGTATGTTGCATACATTTGTTCTGCTGGTGTGGTGAGGCAGCAGTGGAGCATATATGAACGGATGTTCAGAGCCTTAGAAGGTACAACCAGAAACCTTGATTAAAATCTTTAGAAACAGGAAAGATTTAAGGGTTGCTGGTTGTAGCAATGGATATGAAAAATGAATCAGCAGTGACTCAAAAAAGTCTAATCCAATAAATAATTTGACCCTGAGGCACCAGAGTTGGCAGGGACATGTATTAGATTCAGTATAATCAACCGTTATTGTTCCTTTGTTGTTCTTTTGTTTTGGGGGTCTCTCAGGTTAACCATGGAACCAAAACAGTTCAGTACTAGTGCATTTATTTTTGAAGGTTCATGGTAAATATATGTGTACATGTACATATATATATATATATATATGTACATGTACACATATATATATATATATATATGTGTGTACATGTATATATATATATATATATATACATATACACACATATATATATATATATATATGTGTGTATATGTATATATATATATATATATATACATGTACACACATATATATATATATATATATATATGTACATGTACACATATATATATATATATATATGTGTGTATATATATATATATATATATACATGTACACACATATATATATATATATATATGTGTGTATATATATATATATATATATACGTCAATAATATAATAACTATCTCGCCGCTGTACTTTGGCGACCTGTCATTGATTTGTAGGTTGTGATTTTTAGCAGTATTTGGGGTAAATGAATGAGTCATCGTTTGAAAAAACATTGGTTAGAACCGGACAATGCCGTTTCTTTGAGTTCACCATACAGTACTTCTTCATTAGTTCATCACACGCTGCTGCAGTGGAGCTTCTCACACAAACATGTGCTGATGCCGACAAGACGACAGCTGCCAACTGCACACATCCCCTTTTGGTTTCCAGATAAGTATCTGTTCACACCACTGACGCATCTGCCCACGCAGCTACAGTACGAGCTGAAATTCCAAGACATGGTGGGACCAGATAAGGAAATTTTTTACTATAGTTGCACTTCAGTATTTGTTGAGTCTCAGCAATCATGACCGAAAATGACCATATATTTTGTAATATGACCAAAAATGATTGGTCATTTACAATGACGATGTGGTCAACTCGTTGCCAACACTGCCAACACTAGTTATGTGTAGTGTTAGGGTTAGATTAAAAAAAACAACTATGTACCAGACATGGTATGAGTCTGGCCTGCACATCCATTTGATTTTTCAGGATTTCAAACTCCTGGGCTGAGGGCCACGTCTGGCCCATAAAGCCCCTACATCTGGCCCCTGACTGGGATGTTGATAATAATTTTATTTTGCCTTCGAGGTTCTTTTTCCTTCTTTCTTTTTGAAGTTAATAAAATGCTACAGTTAGTCATTTATGAATGAGGAAAACATATTTGTACTAGCTTTCTGCACTGTGGTATTATTTGTCTTCATATTAATTGAACACTGATGTGGCCCTCGAATAAAATGACAGTGACAGCAGCTCATTAAAGTTTGACAGTGTGGGAGAATGTAGAACAATGTATTAGAATAGCGACATTCCAGCATTGGGAATAAGTGTCTATGTTGTAAAAAACTAATACACATATTCATTTATTTCTTAACCAATAAGTCGTTGATTTGATTATCTAAGTGTACTTCACAGTGTAGCCTGAGGAGGAGAGAAGGACGTGTTTATATATTAGGTTATGTGTTATGTATTCCTGAGCCTTTTCTGGTCATAAAATATATGCACAAATCAAAAGAAATATAGTGTACATTTTCTCAGTACTGATCCTGTTTAGAGGAAAATAGCAATAACACAAAAGAATAGGAAACCACCAGACTCTCTCTCACGGTTCTACGTTACCTTCTAATTTCCTCTAAATGGAAATAATACAGTATTTACGTAATCACACTAATATCGGCTGATATCCCTAGTTTTTACCTTTGAGCAGGAGGTTGTGGGTTTGATTACCTGTCTCTCTGTATAACGTTTGTATGGTCTCTCTCTGTGTGGCTGGGGTTTCTCAAGGTAGTTTGGTGTCCTCAAAAAGTCCAAAGATATTCTCGATGTTACTGGTGAAGCCTCGGGTGACGGCAGCCGGGACTGGCTGCAGCTCCCTGCGACCCTGGAAGGGATTAAGGAGCAGAGAATAAATGAAGTTAGAAACAAGTCTGTGGTCTGTGGTCTGCAGTAACACATTAGTACCAACAGTCTGTCCTGAGCTGCAGGTTGTTGTGCAGTGTTGGAGCTGAAGTCGCCCAGAGATTACTACATCATATTACTTTGTATTTTATTGAATGCTACAACATAAAGTTAGGTGTAAATGTGTTTGGACTTCTGGGAAGTATTGAAGGAACGACTCTGTAAATGCAGTAGGAGAGCGGTGAGACCTACGACTCGGTTGGTGGGGGTTTCCAAAAACTGTTGAAAGGGTAAAGAAAATGTGTGCTGGTTCCATTACACAAGCGCAGAGGTAATGTACAGGATTACGTTGCAGTAATTACAGAGGGATAAAGGGA